CCCACTGCAGAAACCTTCTTGGCTACCAACCTGGGACTTGCAGTAGATTATCGTCTGAAATATGAGGCAAAATGCATAATCTGGCCAATATTTCTACAATATCAAGGCTTTCTCTCGTGAAACTTTATGCGAATATAAGATTTATTTCCGTAGCCTCAACAGGATAATTCTTGAAATATCTTAGCATACTTAAAGATGAAAATCAGCACAATTTCAAATTTTGCATCTACATCAAAACATACTCTCAATTTGTACATACATTTGAAATGATCCATCCAGTTACAGTAACCGAAATGAAATAAAACGAAGTCTTATATTTATAACTTTATCTATAATGTAAATATGGATCTGGATGGAATATATAGACCTCTTAATGTACTTAATATAACAACTAACTTGCAAAAGTCAACCCACGAATGAATGTAAATCAAATACAAACACCTTATTACCAAATATATGGCATTTGATGTAATCACCATATTTCAAGATCTGTTGACCTTAAAACTACTCAAAAAAGTTAGAATCTTCTAGTAGATTTCATAATATATATTCACCAGTATTTAAAGAATGTATTGAATGACAAAATCTTAATTTATTCATGAACTTGTTATCCCCTCATCATCAATAGAGGTTACTATTTCAGCGCAACTTGTGAAATCTACATGAAATCAAATTAGCATTTAGATTTCAAGTAGTTCAAGAAGGAAAAATGAAATATGTAAATCAATATAATCAGAATCCAATTGATTTTTTTAAGATGAAGAGGTATGATTTTGTATGACTATCATATTTGCGTGCAATTTTAAGGTTGATTTGTTCTTAAAAACTCATTATTTGAAAATAAAATCATTACATTGAAGGTTTCAAGATTCATTAAAATTAAAATAAAGATTAAAAGTCACTTACTTGTTTTTAAAATCTAACGTTTTAGTTTTTTGAATCATCAGCAATGAATCACATACTTTTGACAGTCTTTTTGAAAAAGTTTATGAGAATAATAAAATCATGATGTGTAAGTGTGTTTTCTACGAATTAAAGAAATGATGCATGGAACAATCATTTCATATGAAAGTTAATTCATAAAATGGGATGTTCTTTATAATTTCTACTACGTTTTGAGTTGGTCACAAATTTAAGACTTGAAAGCTTGTTTTTTTTTTTAATTTTATGGACTCACTCTTGTCCACAATTATGTCTCAAACGCAACTTAATTTGTCTTAGGATTTGTCTTGTTTACATTTTTTTTATTTTATTACACACCAAAATTTTGAATGATAAATGTCTCACATGAGTTTTCCAGGATTATAATACACCAGATTTAATATTAACATTTTAAGATATATCTGATGCATGTCAGATTATCGCAAACTATTCTCAATCAAAATTAAGTTCTGTAAATGTTACAACAATCACAATAAAAATGATGATATAATCATCTTTAAATTTTTTCATTGATTTTCATGATTCAATCAGCAAATTTTTTCATGTACAAATTTTTTAAGACTTGTAAATGTAAATCTTATTTAGTCAAATCTTCCAGAAAAAAAATGTGACTTAATTTATACATCACTGTTTTATGATGTTTTTAAAGGCGAAACCAATCCACATCTTCATTCTCTTCTTAATTTTATTCTCAAACATGTGAATTTAAGTATGAGAAACATTCCATTTAAACAAATTGCTAGGATTCAAGGTACTTTCTAGAAGTGCTGTCATATACTATGCTGATTTTAAGTTGCTCACCATTTGAAATTTGACTTTGCTAGTATATGCAGCAAAATAACTGCTTTCAAAACATAATTTAAGAACTTCACAATTTTTTCCTGATCCAAGTGAACGCTTTCTCCTCTTACATCAATGCTTTCACCATTAGCATCTTATCTAAAGTTCAGAAGTGTAAAAGGAATTTGTTGTCTGAATTGTTAATTGTGATTCAACAACATTTCTCTGGAATCAGAAGAGCTTCCTTATTCCAAAACTATGGTTTATTATTTTCCAATAATTTTGCGACTGGTTCATACTTTCTTGTGTGTCAGATTTCCCGGAATGCATTTACATATTTTATCAATATGATCTTCAGGACGAATAGAGAACAAAATACTAAATATGATACAAGTTCAAGAGTTTGATGTATTTCTGGAAAAAAAAATTCCTGAGAATTTCATATTCACAACTTGAGAGCACTTCTTCGGTATCTACCCAAGGACTTTTTGGCCGTAATAATCTAAGATTTATTCTCGGTGATAGTTGATAAAATGAGAGTATGATATGTTTGAAAAATTTTCCAGATTCCAGATTTCTCATCTTGAACTGACATATTTCACAATGGACTACTATTTACCAAGCAAAAAAACTTCGTGAAAAAGTAATTACACACCAGAGTAATACATGTGTACAGTATTCATGTTAAAGAACTCGATGTCAAGAGATGAAACAAACCATCTCTTCTTCTTCTCGATGTCAAGAGATGGTTTGTTAGATCTCTTGACATCAATCTTCTGTCTTCCCTAATCATTGTTTCTCAGATTTTCCAACAATCTGGAAGATTCTCGCGTTTGACACGAAATGTGCTAATTTTAGACGTCTTGAAATGCAGAAGTTATGAACCAAATGATGATAAACAGGCTTTATTTCAATCTTTGCAGGAAAAATCAATGACTAACTTTATTGCTTTCCAAGTGAACTCCCATGGTTGCATTAACTCATTATTGTGTTCGTACACGGAATAAAATTTACACGTTCCACATTACCAACGAAAGCAATTGAGAAGCATGGAATAAAGAATACATATGTTATAATCTTATTTCAAGAGGTGATTACTGTACTTATCGAAGGTGTTGTGAGCCTTGTTTTCGGTATTTCGAATATGCTGGTTGAAAGGTTGGCAAATGCGAAGTTATTGGATTCTGGTCTGCATATGAGCAGTAAATTTAGCACATAGTATCAATATCTGCTTAAAATGTATCTACCACTTCACGAAAAAAAACTTAGATGCACATAAGATGTAGAACCCTGTTCAAATGGTATTAAATGAGAACTTATGCTAATAAATTCTCATTGTGGATCAATCTACAAGTGCAAACCTCCTCACATATCTTACAGAGAAAAACAATAAGTAACAGTGTCACGACAAACCCTAAATGTCGTATTACGGGATGATACCAAAACTTGCTTTGGGCATCAATGGATTTCTCGTTACCCTCATCTCAGGCCCTTTGTCCTGATGCCGTCAAAGTTGAGTCAAATATCATGTCAAGAGCTGGAAGAGACGACAAACAGCCTGCGGTTACTAACCGACCATCTTCATTCATCAGCCCACAAAATATAGAGGGAAAACATCGAGGTAAAGAGGTGGAAATCCTGCACATGCGGTGCATCCAATCGGCACATCTCTCAGGAACGGTTGAGGTGTTAAACTGATCCATCCTTCTCTCCAAGTGACCAAGGCAAGACGTAGATTGCTTGGAATTGCAGATTTTTTCTGTGAGAGGTCGAGAAGGACTTGGGCTTTCGAGAACTCCCTGCATCACTCCTTTCCTCCCAAGCATTTCGAGCTTTAGAGAGCTAGGATTGATGATAGTTACAGTGATTTGACTCGAAGCAGATACCAGAGAAATTTATCCTGCGAGACGTGGTTCCGTCACATGACTTTCAGAAGGAACGGTAGAAAGAGGTCGGTGCAATGGGCATTTCGTTCGTTCAAGTGATAAGGCGATGCTGGGTCCCGAATGAACCACCAGTGGCCAGGAAATCAAAGGCATTGAATTGTGTTAAACACGCTGTATGCACCGGAAGCTCGAGGCTCAGAAGCGCGTGATCACCGCGGCCAACTCACGTCATGGCGGAGAAACCTGCATGCGCCTACGTCAAGGCGGCGGGGACGTAGGTCAGGCTTTAATCTCCAAACGATTCAAACAAAACGCTCTCAATTATTGCGCTAGTGGCGCCCACGTCGGCAGCAGTTCGCTGACACCGTAGTTCAGGACTTACTACAGTCCTTCCGACGCACGTGAAATTGTACTACAGTTCAGAGTTCCCGGCTTCTCATTGGTTTGGAGCTGTGTTTCTGATGCTCCACACGCAATCACAACGTGCAATCACCTTCAAACCTTCGAATATGAAGATGAGACTTGACGTCCCTTTTTGCGATTGTGTTGATCTTCGAGGTTTCAAGGCCGAAATAAAAAGGGTCTATAGATCCACTGCAATTATCTAGTGAAGTGTAAGTACATATTGGTCTAAGTTTGAATAGCTGATTCTTATTATTATTAAATTATACCTGAGTTCTATGTCTCAAGCTTTCGTAAGTGAAATTTGGTTGAAATTACTGCTACGTTGAGTCTCTCAAAACAAAAAAAACCAAGATTTTTTTTTCATGAGCCAGATAGTAAAGAATAACCTCCAAGTTGTCGCGATAATAATCACTTATGACGTAAGCTCACTTGAAGCGTATTCTGCTCGTGCTTAGCTTGACTCAGATGATGGCCTGAGTACAAAGTACTGTAAAGCTGGCCGAGGGCCTAGAATATAGTGTGCCCTTCCGGGTTGCAACCATTTCTTTCAAAATCATAGGAAGCTATGGACCTGAGAACACTCAGATAACGATGTAGACTGGCATTTGGAAAACGAACCACCAACAAGTAGGTTATGCTGACACAAATAGCTACTTCGGACCGCAAATCAAAGTTATCAGTAGGTTTCCAACACTTCAGAAGATAAAGTGGCCACCGTTGGAATCCAGAGTCAACACCATGATCTCTAACTTTACACGCTGGCATGAAAACCAAATACCTAGGCGTGTTGGACATATTGTTTAATTGTGTCTTACTATCCTCATTATCTTAAGGGCCATCAATCAATCCTCTTAGGAAAATGATCTGAGATACCCAGTTATCACAAACTTATTTACAGTGGACATAATCTATGTCAGCGTATAATGATACCACTGCTATGGAATGGACTTTCATAGGATCCCTTTTTCACTATTTGCCATGGCGGTTCGCCTCGTCCCCCACGGCAGTAATTAAGATTCAGCTGAATCCATGCATATTCTAAAATATACTGGTCCAATACATTTCTACCTGCAGTATTCGTACTGAGAGTTGCAACGCTCCTCATCACTTTCGACGTCCGTACAGCTTAGAATATCAGATATATCATACGTCTTGTAGTCGAGTTTCCACTTCTGGATCCAAAAAGTTAGGCTGACGTACGCAAGTGACGTCTACATGTCTGTGTTTCTACTGTCTGTCTTGGACTATAAATATGCGTATCATTCGCGCTCTTCCATATCTCCCTCTTCAGTGCTAGAAGCAGCTTCGAAGCTTGCTCTGAGTTTCAAACTCAAAGCAAGACTTGAGGCACTGTTCTGATACACGTCTGGAGAATTCGGCTGTTCACACGTAAGTTGCACCTTCGTCAATACGGATCTTACTATCAGCAGTATCCGTGCACACTAGCAGCGAGGAAATGTAGCCCATAGAGCAAATCGTAGCGATGAAGAAGCCGGACCTGTGATTTCATTGTGCTACATTACAAACAGAGATCATTGTTCAGTCCGAATTTCGAGTGGCATTGTAGCATGATTTGTGGTCTACGCTTGAAACGAGGGAGATGTGTTCCGCATGATTATGAGAGTTTCTAGTGATCGAGTTGTTTCAAACGTCATAAGTTCTAGTTGTTGTGCATATTCATTCAGTCGTAGGCTGTTTCCCTCACTTATATTCTAAGGCTCAAAAACTGATAGCAACCAATGGAACGCATGTACAGGTCAGTTTCACATGGTGTACGCATGATTCACGGAGTCTGAATCATCTGAAGCTTCACTCGCCGGCGGCATCCATCTCCTTTGTCGAGATGGTAGAATCATCGATACAGCCGCAAGGCTGGGGAAGATTCAGTGCAAATGTTCGGCCCAAATGGGCCTCGTACGTGTGTTCGATGGTCATCGTCCTGCAGTTTCTGATGCAGAGCGCCGAGGCGGACCCAGTCCTCGGAACAAGCCGTGGCTACTGCAGGCCTGTTACCATCGCCAACAACAAAACCCAAGACTGCTGTCTGCCAGAGCCGAAGAGGCCGCCCATCCCGTTCAAGCTTCCCACTAATCCTATTATGCGAGTGCGTAGGCCTGCGCACGAGCTGGCGCAAGATGTGGAGTACGTGAACAAGTACAACTTGGCTTACACAAGGATGAAGGCACTCCCCGATGACGATCCTCGGAGCTTCCTGAGACAATGGCACACTCACTGCTCTTTCTGCGTGGAGGCATTCTTGTCCAGATATCTCAATGGCACTGCTACACCATATCCTCTCCAACTGCATTTCAGCTGGACCTTCCTCCCGTGGCACAGGATGCTGATCTACTTCCACGAGAGGATTCTGGGCAGTCTGATCGACGACCCTGAGTTCGCTCTCCCGTTCTGGAACTGGGACAACCAGCTGGACCCGACTGCAGGACAAGTTCCTCAAATTTTCCTCCCGTATCCAGCGGGTTCCGCATTCAACAATCCTTTTCTTCACGAGGGTAAAGTCAGAAACACCAACCATCTGCCCCCGAAGGTTCTCCCACTCGACTACAATGCAATTGACGAGGCGGCTGGGGTTGTCAACACCCCTGAGGAAATCAAAGACGCCAACCTGTGCATGGTATGGAACATGGTTTACAACAAGGTGAGCGCTCAAGAATTCTTGGGTGGTAAGTACAACACCAGCGCGAACCTCGGCGCTCAAGGCAACGTAACCGTGGGTGAGTCTGGAGGCGCAGAAAGTCTCCACAACACGGCGCACGAATGGGTGGGCATGATGAACAACGCCCAGTTCCCCGACAATGAAGACATGGGGGTGTTCACCTACGCTGGCAGGGATCCAATCTTCTACTCTCACCACGCCAATGTCGACCGTCTGTGGGATGTGTGGCAAACTCTTCCCGACAAGGTGACAGAAGATGGAACCAGAACGAGAAAGGAGTTCGATGACGTCGACTTCCTTGAGACAGAATTCACATTCTACGACGAGAACCAAGACATGGTGAGGGTGAAGGTGAAGGATACTCTCAGCAGTGAGAAGCTGGGATACACTTATCAAGATATGAGCGCAGCTGATAGGCTATGGATCGACCACAAGCCCCAAACGAGCCGACCGAGTTTCAGAACTACTCAGATGGCGTACTCTCCCAACGACTACCCGGAGGTGGTCCTGAACGCGAACAACACCATCGGAAGCACTCCCGTGTGCTTCAAGCTGGCACGACGACCTCCTAACAGGGATGATCTGAAGGGCACACAAGTGAAGCACATCGGCGAGTTGAGCGAGGGGCTTCTGATTGAGAAGGTTATGGTGCCCGAGATGATGTACGTGCGCTTTGATGTGTACGTCGACTTTCCTACAGCCAACATGGAATCGGATGTGGACAAGTCCGACTACGTGGGTTCGTTCACTCATCTTCCCAGTGGAGTTACGAGCATGAAGGACGTCACCGCCCAGGTTCCCGTGGCCGATGAAGACTTGTTCCGCGAGCTGAACATTCGATTCAGCATTGGTACAGCGCTCAGAAGGATAGGCATTAAGGACTACAGCACTGACATCACGGTGACTGTTGTGCCGAAGTTCAGACCTGGTGATGAGAACAAAACCATCACCTTCGCCAACCTCAAGCAGGAGTTTTGTTAAGTCTTCGTTTCGGTTGTACTAAGTCCGAGAGACAGGATTCTGATGCCCAGGAATCAGAGCGGTTTGAGATCATAGAGAGTTGTAGGTCGCCTTCCGTGATTTTGATAGGTATGTGCCTTGCATCTTACGCTCCTCTCATCTGCCGAACTCTGGGGTCAAAAGCAGGTATGATTCATGTATTATGTGGTACTGGGAAACGCTGGCCGTATTCATTCTCCATTGAGAACAATGTAAACTGTGATCAAATGCAGTCTCCAACTGCATTTATTGAAATTTATAAATTCCAGTACCTTCAAAGCTCCAAACTCATTGTGTATGTGTGAAATTATTCAATCCAACAGGGTCTCCTCTGTTAACAAGTATCAGAGCGAGAATGTGGATTCAAATCTGGTCGGAAGCAAAGTAGAGAAATTGCAGATCTATTCAGTTGGCCTTGTACAACATTGCTTCAACATGTATACAATTTTAAAACATAAATCCTCGTCCGCACACTTCGGCCGATAACTAGTTCCTTGAGGTGATTTCCGTATGAAGGACTTTAATCCGGTATTAAATCAGTTTTATGCTGAATCTTGGTTTTTAAATTCAATGGTATGAATTAAGTTAATCACCTGTACAATGAATCGACAGATTCATGAAAAACACGAATAGTAAATTAAGTCAATTTGGAACATGTATGAAAACCTTTGCATTTTCACAAAATATTCAATAAATGACCATAAATATAGGAAAACTGCAGAAACAACAATGTTCATTTCAACTCAATGAAACCGTTAATAGCCTACTCTGAAGTGAATAATGTACTAATTAAAGCCACAGAAGAACAAACTGAAGTAGAAAAAATCTGTGTAACGAAATGAACCTGTTAGTACCTCGGAAAACGAAACCCAACACAAAATCTGGATATTGTAGAAACTGTAAATAAACTATTGCACTTTGCCGCAGAATTCTGAGACTACTGTATAGCAGATGCGAGGTTGTTCAGCAAATTAAGTTTCTGCATATGGGGTTGGTTTCCAGATTCACAGTACATTTCTTCAACTTCTCATAAAGAAACAGTTAGAACGAAGAATATTTGGTCTTATCTACAATTCTCTGCTGTGTATATAAGCATGTATTTTATAGCCTGCAGTCAATTCATACTGAACTCTCCTATTCACAATTGTGTAAAGCTCGCTCAGATTGTAGAATATTTCATGAACCCATTATTATCTGATTATAAAGTGAACAGGAATTTTCTTCCATTCTTTTCCTTGAAATATATTGCTCTTTCAACATAACTTGGCATGCCTAACTCAGACCTCACTCACTTCAGTGTCATGGGCTGCAGTTGCCAAGTCTAAAGCGAACTAGGATAATAAGTGGACTAAAGTGAAATTTGATAATAGTTAAATTACTCTTTGAGAACATGCAACAGTAATTGAACACCAAATTGGCTTTTTCTGCATCAGATTTTATACCTCCGCCTTTGTTACAACAATGATTTCACCCTGGTTGGAATCACGTGCACACTGGGAATTCCAGGTATACTCTCTACCGTCCGCAATATATAAAAGCATTTGCGCAGCATGGAACATGTTTGACGTGATTTTTCTCTTCATTTTCAAACCAACTCCGATAATTGTTTTGTACCTCTGGTTTCGTATCTCAAAAGTACCTCAAACGAATGAATCCATGGCACTACTTTCTAATGAAAATACTATTCCGGAAGGCGAGGCAAAATGATAACTTGACTGATCCGATCTATTTAACTTGGTCCCCGATTCTCACATCCGATGCGCTACAAATGTCCTAGACTTGCTTTTAACTGCACTATCACCTTCGGGCGAAAAAACTCTTGTCTGAAGGACATGCAGCCGTAAACCAGGCTGTTCTAAACTTTGAATCCCAGAAGAATATTCACTCAGTTATCAATTTTCTCATATGCGGAAAATATGCTTCATCATCATACTTGAATTCGTGGACACAGGGCATAACTGTTCTTTTACAGCTTTCGAGAACTGTGCTAAAGAGAATGTCGCGTGAAAAGAATTGTCTTTATTGCTGTCCAGTTTTACGTTTGTCTAGCACCAACCTGCAAAAACCAAGCCCTTAAATATTGGTCTATGAGTCAGCTCCCTCGTTTCAACAAATTTGTCCTGATAGAAAAGACTTTTTCACGCTCAATCTAAGGTTATTTATGCTACGTCTGACCTTCTCAAACCAGCATTCTTGGAAATATCTTCCTCTTCCGTTTTCTCTATGTCATCTGGCGGTAAAGTCTGCATACGCAGTGCTTGCAGTGCTCACCAGCTAAAGCTCAGGGATCAATGAGATATGGACTCCTGGCCATGAATTTCCCTATATGTCTCTTAACATAATTTAACCTTCATATCATGCTTTCGGACAACGAGGTCCACAATTATCTGCAGCTCAAATGAACGGGCTAGGAGTCTCCTGAAATATTTCTGCGTCATCGGGTATTTGTGTCTGTGTCGTCGTCAAATTGCAATATAGGCTTCTTCCTTTGAGTGCGAAGAGGGTTATAGCCGAGGTACGAAGACCAGAAGGGCTCATGATTCGTACTTAGATTGTCCTGGCCTGCAGTTCTTCAAATTTTCCATCCTCGTCGTGCGCATCCTTGAGCTTCAGCATCCAATGCGCGCAGAGAGTTCAAAATTTCCAATCCTGCCTCAAATACAACACTGATTCTGATATATCAGGCCATGTTTATCAGGTGGCTGTGTTTCAGGCAAGACCAGACCGGAGTTTAGTCTCACTACAGTGATGCTCTGAAAAAATCGTCCTTCCGCCAACTAAGAGAGACCAAGCGCTCTTAGATGAATGACGAAAACTTAATATGTTGAACAATTCATTCCTTCTTAATTTCAACAGCAAACTAGGAGGTATGCACATATATGCACTAGCATGCTGGAGAAGGATGAAAGACACTCCGGCTTCTTTTTGCGAATATCTTCATAATTACATACCTCCTCATCTCATGCCAAGATACTGCTTCAACATCTTCATATGGTACTGAAGACGTTTCACCATGTAGTTTGATTGGAAGCAAATAGTTTACTAGGGGACTCAATCTCCACGATATGCTCCTCATCCCCATCGGATTCACAACTGGTTCCAGATCGGGTTCTCACTAGAGACTTGGGCCATTCCTGAGGAGGTGGTTCCAATACCAAGTTTCCGTGACTGTGGACCTTCCTTGGAACAGTCCCATTTCTCCGCGCTGGCGATTTGAGAGCATATGCTGACGAGAACTGCTTGCCCACAGCTCTTTTCACAACAGTTGGATATGATTGACTTCGAGGCTGATGTAAATTTAAAAAACTACGGACGTAACCACCTCTCCAGCCCTTCTTTGAGACCGTCACCTGACATTATGCAGTGAAAGATCAAGGATATATTAGTTTGCAAATTTTTTCCATTTGGGACTCTACTTATCAGACCTCCAAGGCATAAAATTTTGACTAGGCAAGCCAGAATGTAAGCACTGCAATACATCGCTGTAAAGCAACAAATGCGAGACCACGTCGAACTATGTAACAAAACATGAGAACAATCTGCACCTTGTGCTCGTCACGTGGTGAATACAAAAGGATAAACCATACCTGACTGCCGAAAAGACTCAACTCCATGGCTTTTGCGGAGTAACTCGCCGAATGGTCTCCATGAACGTCCCCTGATTTGGATGGACCTCCACTAGATTTCCTCGAACTCTGATACTTAGATCCAAATCGCATCAAACCAGCGGACTCGCCCATACTCTGCTTTGGAATCAGGGGACTCAAAGACGTAAAAGGAGTGGACTGACATGAATGAAGATCGATGAAAAGAACCCGAGAGCGAGCCTCAACATGGTAGAAAATACTCTGTGGGATGATGCTAGCGGTCCTGCTCCCTGAAAAACCTGTTCACCAAGAAAAAACAAATTAGACAGAACAAAGTTGGGAAGGGGATGGGAAACTAAGGCTCTTTCACGTTTGTGCCAACAGACGAGCTGGCCAGTTGACAAAGTTTAAGAATAAAAGTTCGTTCCTGAAAAACTTTAGCTGTTGATTAGATAACAAACCGCTCAGTCACGGTGTTATGGGCATGACGAGCAATAGCAAATGATAGCAGTTGCTTGCAGCTGGTTGAGCTTCTCGAATATGTGCAGTGCCAAACCTCTTCCTTCTTCGATGATCAGTTTCAGGTTAGAAAGTTCCGAGGAGATCAGGATAGGTCCATACCTTTGCTGGTCGGAATGACTTCCGTCTTTGTCAGCAAACCGGCTGGGGCACCGATCACGTCATCCTTTCCCTCTTGCTTAATGAAACCTTCAAGCAAAATCCCAATTCTTCCGATTTCAAGCTCGATCGTTTCCCCTCGAATATATGTGCACAAGTTGGATCCTTCCGCGATTAACGCTCGCAGCTCTTGCATGGTGATGGCTTCAAACTGCTGGGGTAGAACAATTTTAGCCACTACAAGAGCACTTTCCTACACAGAAAACAGGTTGCTTACGGTGAGATCAGTATAATGCACATGGAAGATACAATACATAATCTATATTATATCACCTGTTTGCCTTATAAACTTTATTTGACCGTTTTACCTCAACCATGCGTCTTCTTGATATACCTCGAATTCCACACGAGACTCGAAACAGTATTACATAATTCGTTCCAAACTGTAGTTTTAGTACGAGACAACGAGAAGAATGCTGGCTGTCAAAAACTTTTACAATCTACGGTCATGCCAATTCTTGAGAACAGCGTATATCAAAATGCCGACGCAAAATATTTCCACAATACCTGCCAGAAAAAGTCTTCAAGCCCTGGCTCACTTGCGGACACGGCCATGAGCTTCGCACTGTCAATAAAGAAGCAATGCGCCACTGAGTCTGCTGCAATGGTACAGAGTCGCGGCCTGCCAGTTAAACATTCATACAGGCCCAGGGTACTCCCATGCGGAAAAGTTGGATGTAGTAATTGTCGTCCTGTACTCTTGGTTCTGGTCCACTGTGACAACAATTTTGATACATAAGTAAAGGAGAGATGCCGCTTGCCAATTTTTATGGAATTAGAAAAAAGGAGTCAATCCAGCCACAGGTTCCCCTGCGGCTACCTTGTTACGACTTAAGAAGAAGACTTGAGAATTTGAAGAAACATAACTTGGCAGGCTGGGCTCAAGCCTAGAACTTTTATGAACTGGGCAGAGAAAAACACAAATAAAAAGCGGGCCAATTCAACAGCAGACACCACATACCTTCACAGAACCATTAGCAACAAGCCACACGCCATCTGCCTTTGAATCCTCCCTGAAAAGCAGACTCTCGCGAAACATCATGCATTCTTTCGCAGCATTTAGCAAAACTTGCTGCACGTGGCCAGGGAGAGCTCCAAAAAATGGCTGATTGATCAAGACCTCATGGGCTGATTGCATTTTCACCGGAGGTGGTTTTCTCTGCAGTATTTTCAAATCTACCTGTTCCACGAACCACCGCTGACTAGAGTTAAGCCTTGACATCATCTACACATACGCTCTGTCTCTGTGAAGACTAGAACAGGTTTTTTTCAAAGCATACAATAGCTACAAACTTTGCAAGCCTCTGGAGAGATCCTGACGACCATTGACATACCGACGAATCACTTGGAAGGAATCGTTCTACACCGCAATCAACCTGTTTTATTCCCTTCCAAGTGATCCACAAACTTTCTTACCAACTGCTTGCATATATTGATAAACTAGGAAGAACATACAGTACAATGGATCACAGATAAATTAAGCATCGATGGCCGTGAGCAGTGAGTAATTTTCTCTACAATGCTGATCTAAGGACTGTTTAGACATCTCACTAGCCAGTAAGACATACCTGAATCATATCGTGTAGATGATTTGTCTCTTTTTCCTCGACAAGTCCTGCTTCTTCAAGAGTTTTGACGTAAGCACTCAAACGTGTCAAGACAGCGTAAGTCACCTGCTTTGTTTTGATAACTCGTAGAACCTGATACACACACAATCAGGCAACTTGCTGCTGAGCGGTATAAATCATGACAGTTGAATAAATACTCTACAACATTTGAAGTCCCCGAGCTTTGTTTCTTGCCGATCATATCGAACAACCAAATTCAGCATACAACACCTTCTGGTCATGGGCAGCATCATTGGAGTGCTTTCATCTACTTTTCTCTATTTTAGCTGTACAAGTAGACAAACCTGTGGGAAGAGAAGCCTGACATCTTCAAGAAATCGCCTAGCCTCTACTTCTTCGTTTTCGCTCTCTTTGATGACTGCATCAGCTACTTCACTTTCTCCTGATACACAGATAAGAGGAGACACAAGGCACTTCACTGTCATCAAGGTATGTGATGATAAAGCCTCTAAGTATCGCGTATAGAGGACTATGAACTGACTTTGTTTGGGACCTAAACACTGACGACAGAGTGGTTGCTATGCAGAAAATCGTTGTATATCCTCCGCATGTATCACAACTCGTTAAATGATTGCGCGGTTGCAAAAACCTTTAGTTTTATAAATAATGGCTCGCAAATTATGCTTCCACCACCCCCTGCAGCTATGTTGATTTTCAAGGAGGAAATCCTACCAATAAATTCACGAAGTTGATGTCGTGCTTGTCTGTGAGCCCGAAGAAACGCTGCCGCAATATAGCATCCCAGCTCCAGCCTGACCACAGTGAAAAAAGAGAGGAGACGTTGTGGCAACATAGACTGACTACTCCACTTCAAGTATTGTGGAAAATGCACATGCTGTTGGAGACCTTTCCAGTCATTCATGGGTTCATGTCGAGCCACCTGCAAAATCATCAGAACAATGACTTATGATTTCAATCCACCACGAGGATAGATAAGTAAACTGTTTCGTAACTACGTATTTACTGGCAGAAAATAGCTCCGAGAGGAATATCATACTACGTACAAGATCAAGACATTCGTCAACAGATTGCATTAGTAGGGTTGCTGATGTTCGTGTTATACGACCTTCGTCCAGCATATCCCAGTATGCAGCCTGTACACCTGCACTTTCAAAGTCATATTATTATAAATTTCTTCTACATGTTCGCCAAATCTAGAACGTTCGTAAGCACTAAAATTAGCACAACGTATTCATAACTTGTACACCCGTCAATAAAGATTCGCTTGAGATTTAATGACGTGCTTCTGGAATTCTGTTTTAGGTAACTAGAAAAGTTTCTTTCTTCTGCGATAGTGTAGTATAACTAAGTAGTTTCTTCCAGTACAGAAGGCTCGTCGTGACCAGCTAGAGACGCACCGTCGCTCTGTTGAATAAGTTAGTCACAGAACAGCACAAAATCAGCTATACTTCTTCCACATGTTGACTCTAGTGTCAGTTATCCGAATCCTCGACAAGAAACACAATTGCAGCAAACACAAGATTTTTAAGTAGACCGTGGTACATCTATCGACCCACTTGGGTCATTTCAAAACGAAGAGTCGAAATCCAATCGTGTGGATTGGATTGGAATAGTACCCAACCATTACGGCCCTCTGGACTGAGAACAGACTCTCGTCCAGTTGAATTGTGTCAAGTGTCCGATGAGATCCACAATGAAAAGAGAGGTTGGAAATGAACCGTTTAGAAAACGCATTCGAGTGTCTTGCAGGATGAGATTCCGACTTTCTTCTCCAGAAACACTTGCGTCATGAGGATGCGTGAGAGCTCGAGTGTCCGGGTGCTGTTGAAGGCAGCTCACATACTTGCAGACTGTAGACCATTCTGCTGGCCCTAGATCTTCATCCTCTCCTAGCTCACCAAATGACTCAAGAGCTTTGCTGTACATTTCATGTCTCACATATTCCAGAACAAGGGCCTGCAGCACCAACAAATTGATTACAAGCACAAACATCAGGTATATCGTATAAGTATCTCAGAGCTATAGCAAAACTTTAATTTTGAGTCACCTTATCAATCAATCTAAAGGTACCAGTGCTGACTTGTACCTTAGATGCATCATTATTGGAAAGGAAGAAAATAAAATGCACTGCATTCAGGAAATTACAGTAATTATGCAATCCAGTCTTCGCTCGCTGGCGTAACAACATATAACCTTCTATTTCTCTGCCGGCTTCCGCCCAAAATAAATCCCCCGAATTTCGCTATATGATTAAGATTTTCACTACAATTTGGAAGCGTGCTATGTTATTGTGGACTGCTCCCACTTTACGTTCATTGATGCCTAACTATCCGTAGATCTTCAGTTTCGTTACGTACAACTTTAAAAGCTTGGCGTTGAAGCTTATGTGTTCTCATGAGTTTCTAACAGAGATGTGTTTCCATATCCTTTGAAGTTCTTGTTAGTCTCAGAGTCAGTTTCTTTCTCTCTTCAGCAGAAAAGTAGTAATCGTGAACAATAGAGGACAGTGACTAATGTTTAGCATACGTCACTCCTAATTTACTTAAGTGAGGTTTAGCAGGAAGCAGCCACGTTAAAATTAGATTTGCAGACACAAGTTTGAGCCATGATTAACTCAGTTTATACTGCTAATCTGACTGTAAAAATTACAGGTCAATCAGTGCTAGCACTAAAGCTTAGTTTAGAGTTGGTCTCAATTCTAGTGTAGGGAGAGGTATCTAGACAAATCTCACATATTTCTTGCTCCTCATAGTCCACCTGAGGGTGGATGCGGGAGGGGTATTAGCAAACTATGGCTACTCCCGGAGAGTCAATAGGAGCATAAGGCAATCATTTGATTCATCTGGAAGATATCCTGATCAACTGCTGCAATAGAGTTCAGAATTTGAATATTCAAAAACAAAAACGACACCGGAGCGGAATGTTCCCCACACAATGCTGACAACACAAGCTTTCCTGTGAAATCACTTGATATATAGTACTGGAAGTCGACCAAGATGACAGAGTTCACTCGGACGAACCTTTGTTTCAGGCGTATGATCCATCCCCAAAACTTTGAGAAGAAACTGAGTCGTTGTCCCATTTATTATCAAAGTCAAAAATACGACACCACCTGTGAAAAATACGAACTGTAGCATACAAAAGATAAATAAACGAGTTATCTGAGGAAAAACAGGACCGCTACGTGCGGATGATATGAATCTAGTGAATGACTATCCTGGTTCACAACTCATAACAGCAAGATTGAGGTTGCGAGGTCTGAAAATAATACTTCACAAATAGTAACACCCTACAAAATATGCCTCTATTACTAAATCCTGAGTTAGTCTAAACACTAACAAACTTTATTGTCAAACATCTCCAACTTCCGTGTGTGCAGTAGTTTGCTAAAATCCGCTGTTGGCGGTTTTCAACGCCTCGTAATAAGTTTCTAAGTCCTTTTGTCTAATCACTGGATGAGAAGGAAAAGTTAAAATCTCCATATAAAGTAGTTCTTGCTAATGATCTTTGCAGGTAAAACAAAACCATCCAAACTCTTCCAGCAGAGGGTAGCGAAAGGGGACTACACAAAGCTACGGAGCATATGTATCACAAATCATTGACACAGTAACTTATTTCTTAAACTTTACGCTAAGCGTCTCACGGTTCCATCAGGCAAGTACTATTTGACATTCTTTAAGATCTCTTTCAGATGAGAGATTGAAGAGGAAGACAATAACATAACAGTAACATAACCTTTGAACACAACAACGTCTTTTCTTCAGTACTGAAGATTGAAGCCAAACAAAAATCTAGTTACCTGAGCCTCCGTCCTCTTGGTTATTAAAGTGTAATCCTCCGACTCTTCTTGGCCAACTTGCTGCAATACAGTGATGATTTATCAGCAGAGGTCAATCGTCACTATCCGCCGTTCTTGAAAGATTGTTCATCAAGAACGACATCAGTAAGCTGATGTCTCAATGAGCTGTTTATTGTGCGTCTGACGAGAAAAAGGAAATGGGCGTATGACAAGCAGCTTTATCCGAGCTCTCTTCTCTTCTTAATAACTTTTGAACTTGACTTTCCCCAGTTGATGACTTTACATTACAGTTATTTGCAACTATTCAAATTCCAAAAGTGTATGTGATCAAGTTGGGTTTCAGCTTGCAAAGGAACACGGCGAGCGCTGAATGTTTACAATGTCGGAGATGGAAAGAGTGTCACTCACAGCCACAGACAAGGAAAGAGATAAGGCAACAGCTCCACGAAGTCCTGACCAGATAAGTATGGATGCCTCCTTCCAATCAAGGCCATAACCAAAGTACTTCAAGCCAGGGTAAAGTATGACAACTACCACCACTCTGGACAGCTGCAAGGCCACATATAGCAACACCAGATATCCCCAGTCCTGTCCTGCAATAGAAATATATCAATATCAAGAAATGAGTCTGATGATACACGACGATGGATCCTAGAATTAATACTGGATTTTGGCCGACTCCTTTGGAACGTATACTGTGAAGTTGTAATATTCCAATTTGTGTAGATCAAGAAGAAAGCTTATCGTGATTTTCCATCTACCTGCAACGTTTAAGAATTGTGAAGAAAGGCACCACCATGTAATCTTGTTACGTCAATAAAACCCCTTGTTAAGTCCGGCAATTCCACGTTTCTCTTAGTGAGCTGGACAGAAATTTTAGCCTCCCTCAACGACCTAATAGTACTTTCAGCGTTTATCAAAGTGAAAGTGTTGGAAAGTGTGAATCTATACCTTGGACATTATCACGACTTCGTAAAATGCTCTCTGCAATGACCACCCCGCTGTAGATACATCAGTTAGACCCAAGTCAGCGTTAGGTTTAGACAAAAAAACTGCAATTATCGTACTCTGAACCTCTCTAACTGTGGCTCAAGAGATTAACAACGAAAAATATAGTATATCCAACATTGTAGCACGGTCACTTTCGCTGTAATCCTAAATAGAAATTGCTCAAACAATATACAAACCTAAGGATGAAGATTAATGTGTTGGCGATGTACGATACCATCTCCCTGTTACGAAGATGTAATCAAAATTGTCAATAACTTAAGATTCGACAAAGTTGCGTAGATTTCCTCTACCCGATGAAAAAGCAAAACTGCAACAGGCTTTGTGCTGCTCTGAGGACCCTGCGCATTAGTCATAGATGATTGAAAGTTTGAATACCACATAAGCTCTGCATAACACATCATTCTGAAATCTGACCCCATTCTATCAATTTGATGATTCTGGACACCGAGATAAAGATATCAACGGACTAAAGCTAAGACAAATAAGCTTTCCTCAAGAAGTCTAAATTCAAAAAACTGCGATAATAAAAAGCCGAACATCGTGTGTCACGACCCTTGCTGTTTCTTCTTTAACCGACCAAAAGAAATTATATTTACCAGAAATGGCGCATACTCTGTTGACTTTCCCCAGTGAACGCAGTTCTCGCAAACGCAGCAAAAAACCTACATTATTAACTATCAATATATGTCAGACGCAGTACTTATACTTAAGCAAAGAGGGATAATCAGCAGTTCCTGAAAGTAAGACCTCAGCATGTTACTTCTGGTAACCAGGATCAAGCGCAAGAAAACAAAATGAAGACGACACTTACAACCGTATATATAGATCGTACCACATATGTCTGAAGTGTGCATAAAATAGGGGCACAATCCTTTAGACGGACCGACGGTGTGCATACACGGATACAAGTAGGTAGGTTTGAACGTATGCACAGTGTATGGACGACTGAAAATTGCAGATTAAAAAAGTAGTTTGTAGTCATCGATTGTGAAATATCCATCCGCCGAAAGCAGTTGACGGACGATTTCAATTATTTCTCTATCAAAGACGATTAAATAAACCCTTCGAAACTGATTCATAAAAAATCACAGCGTGCGTACAGAACAACGAATGCTTGAGCTTAAGCAAATATACGTGCAGCAAAGATCATTAGCTGTCCCCAAAGACTATCCACTGCATGTTAACACATAGTGACCATGAACTGTATCAGTCTGCAAACAACTTCATTCAATGATCTTGGTAACCGACACATGGCAATCAGCTTTTCCTAGTTTCAACTACACTTCGCCACTACAGTTTATCCACGTTCAACACATGTGCGCATCGATGCGTAACTTACATGCCAACTGTCATGACCGTTAAAACGCCGGATACGTGTGCCTCCATCTCTGCCTGTAAACACCACAGAGAGACATTAACGGGTTGCTGAAAAGACATCAGCGTTAAACCAGACACAGGGGCTAAGTACGAATAGTTCAACTTCAAAGCTATTTATGAAATAAGATGAAAATTCTATCTTACAACAAAAAAGGCCAGGTAGCTTGCGGTAAGCGTCAAAGTGATCTCCACAATGACATCGTTGAAGACTCTTCCAATCCACAAAACAGTCACCAGTCCAAATGCTAGCCCAAGTGCAACTCTGCGTAAACAGTGGAAATTATGAAAGACAACATTAGCTGAGCAGAAAGGTACTAGAAAGCACCTGCCGAGCGCGTGTTTATCAGAAATACATAATTGCTGCAAGATTACTCACGAAAATACTTACGCTCCGAGAGCAACTTGTGAGAAAAACTGAACAATATCTCCTGCTGTAAAATGCTGCCCGAGTACCATCTGGAGGAAAAGCTTGAACACAACGATAGCCGTTCTGCAGAAAGAAAAACAATTGCACCTGTTCAGTCCCAGAAAATAGCAGCAACTTCTACATTATAAACTGACATGATCGACCGCAGGGACTTAACATGCATGAACCTTCTGGCACAAAAGGACGTTCGTATTCTTCAAAGCTTAGAAGATGCGAGAAAATCACAAGATAAACTGACCCATCATTCATCAATGATTCACCCTCGACTATTGTACTCAATTTCTTGCTTGCTCCTAGCTCCTTCAGCAGAGCAACGACGGCCACTGGATCTGTCGCACTGAGAAGACCTCCCAAAAGCAGACAGGTACTCCAATTCCAGCCATACGGGAAAAGATACTGAAAATCCACAATCCAAGAGAGCATTATTCCTCAGTTTGAGGACTGAATCGCTCTCAAGAACTTGCTAAACAATCATCTATATAGAACAAGCAGCACTTCGGTCTCTTACATGAGAGAAAACATCATGGCTGGCTGAAACAACGAGAGAGGGACTCTAAACCCTGCTGAGGAAAAACAGCAACGTATATTTCACAGATACGAACTCTTTCCTTCGTATGAGGTACTCTAGGTGTTCTTCACGACATACCACAACAGTGTGTAAGAGACAAGGAAAAACAGAGGAGGCAAATGTACCATACTTACACGATGAACAAGAGCAAGGCAGAACGTGGAAATCAAGACCCCCGGAGCTGCAAGCAACAGCATCTGATTTATACATCTCTGCAAGAATAAACAAGCGACATAAGCATGACTGTACCGTGGTCCGTCATCACCTGTGAACCAAATCGTACGGTTAAAAAACTAACAATTCTACTTACCGACAACTCTGACAGCAAGAAGAAACTAAGACCTTTGATAGTGGTCGTTATCCCCATCAGGAGTAGCTAGGTCCTTACAAGATACGTCGAGCGTACAGCGAAAAAAAAACTTTTGTGCACTGAAACAAAAGGAGGTTACAAGTCGAAAGTAACTAATACCTTTATTTGATGTAGTTCCATAGCAAACGAGCTTTCAAATAGAAGGGCGGGAAGGAACACGAACAAGATAAGATCAGGGTTGATATGTGACCCTGTAAACGGATGAAACTGATTCAGATCGAGCACTCCTAATAACAGACTTGCGAGCAAACTGAGCTTGACAGATGTATATGTTGTCAACTTCTAAAGAATTTTGCAATATCATGAACTTGTCACTTAAAATACCACTCAGTGGTCCAGTAAGATATTGTAGTCAAATCTGGTTTCCATTAACAACAATATCACGAAGCAAAGTTAAGGATTTGGGTGGTCATACACATTCTTATACTTGCTCCTAGAGTTCCCAATCCCCGGCTGGTTCCGTACTCTGCAACCGATAAGTGGACTGTAAGATAGCTTCTTAGCCGTCGCTTATGAAAATCACACTTAAACATTTCACGCTCAGTCTCAAACGCAACCTGGAGCACAAATTCAACTTCAACTTACAAGCATTGGCAAGAAGTCCAGCATCTCTTACCCATGGCACCGAGACCAGTTCCCAGAATTAGCAAAGCGACAGTGTAAGGCACTCTTGTGCCCTTAAAGACCTGTCGACATATTACTCCCAAGAAAAGTGAGACGCCGATAAAGAGAATGGCAACCTGTGGTTCCTCGCTGTGGGTATCATTCGCACCCTCAGGAGAAGGGACAGGAACCTCCGACTCTGTCATTATCAGCTCCTGCAACCAGATGTAACAAGTAGTAATTGTACTGCAACCGGTACAAAGTACCAAAGTAGTTTATGAAGTTTCTTGAGATTCTTGCGAATTTATGAATGCATACAAATGTAGCAATTATGTGTGAGGACACATAATTGCCCTGAGCGGGTTTTTAAAACGCTATCCGTCAGCATCTTTAGGACGTTAAAATAAGTTAATATAGCAGATACTATCAGAGTAAAAATCAAGAGCAAACACAAGAAGGTCAATATCCAGCAGACTTGACGATTGCGCAGAATGGACTTCGATACTTCGTTGACAAAGCATAACATCATTCGGAAAACCCGATCTAAATTCTCACCTCCAGTTTTGTACCAAGGAACAAAGGCACCGATAATGATAACAACACATGATTCCACACAGAAGCGCAGCCAGAAAGAAATTCAGTTACAGAAGCCATTTTAAGCATGCGGCTGCCAACTCTGACCGATTACTGAAAGCAGGTGGAAAGGTGTCAACCAGGATCGAAGAGTTGGAGACCAAAATGAGAGTTAGTGCACTTCTGGAGCCCTTGAGCTGCCTGCATTGGGGGAAAAATCTCCATATATGGGCACCAGGAGCTCACCTGAGATGCTCTAAGTTTCTTGTTTGCAATCCGTAGCTGATTGCTATGGTGGATTTGAAGATGGGACTCCAACTTCAAAACCCATCAATTTCGGAATACTCCATTCCAGCATGTTTTGTGGCTTGGCAATTCTAAGCAGGACCCGCACGATTAAGGTTCTCAAGACTAAGATCCATAGATGCGTGTGGACGCCGAGAGAAGGTACTATCTGGCTACATTTCTGTGCGCATCCCAACACCGACGCCAGTTTCGTTGGCTTTATCAACACATAAAAATATAAACAAAGGGATACGAGTTCCACTGATGTTGGCACACAATAGATGTTGACATGGAGAACTCAACCCAGAGATGTGACATCTTATCAAGGGCCCCCGTTTGTCCGTAATTGAAACATCATGTCATAGATCCACGCACCCACAGTTCCAGTTTCCTAAACCAGAATGTAAGTGAACGCTTTCGCAGGCAATATCGATCGAAAAACGCCAGCGGAATAGAGACCATCCCACCGGGAATCTATTCTGAACAGCCATGAACGAACTCGCGTAGCATTTCGCAGCCCCCAAGAAAATAAACTCGGCTGACACCCGCAGGTACGATTTGTAACGCTAATCGTTGTCCTCGGCTTGGTGTCCAATCCACCATAATCTATGTGAGGATGACAAGAGCGGTGCATATATTCCAACTTGAGAGGATTTCTTACCACAAGCCAAGCGGAGATTGTGGAGGGACGGAAACATTCATAGGTTCTGAGGAAACTCTCCCAAATCCGTCTACTTCCTCCAACTTCAGCTCCACAGAAGGATGTAAACTCTCCCTTCTTGACAAAACCCATCGAGTGTTAGCTCCTGTGCTTGCCCTCCAGAAGAAGAAACTCGTGTCGATCACTGTATGTTGCGAAATTCTTCTGAACAGTTAGTTTGTGATCACCCAACGCTGCTCGAAGTTGCAGCTGTAACCAGTGTGTCGAACGTAAGCGCACGAGGTCACCTCCGCTCAATATGTTATTCATTACCGATCCAAACGATTCCTATGAAGCATTCCCAGATTCATTCCAATCCTCAATGAAATGGCATAATAGTTTCTTTCCACTGCATGGGCCCAGTTCGAGCTTTATCCGCCGAAACTTGGAAGCAGTGCAGGATGACATTGAGATCCATATTTCTCATCTGACATTGTCCTGAACCAATTTGGACCATTGTGTGGGGCAGTGGGAGGCAGAACAGTAGAGCCGTAGTCCTCCTTGAAAGATTTCACCATGCGGTCGTGTTTGCATATTTCCAGTGGATATGAAACCACCCCATCCTAAATTCAGTAACGCTGTTAGAAATACCACACTTCTTATCCACTGTACGGATTTCTCTGGTCAAAAAGTTTTGAGCTTTTCTCTCATCGAGACTGACCTGGCCACCGCAAACACAGATTATATTTCTTAAAGGGGCCTGTCTGGCTCGAAACAGACCCGAGCTGTATACTTTTCTCAAACGTCAACTTACTCCTGTAGAACTCCAGAGGCAGGGGCACTAAGCATTTGCATTTGTGGCAGATTTTCCCGAAATGATGGGCAGGCAAGGTGAAAACCATATTCTTGCATTCCTGCATTGTGAATCACAGGCTCTGAGCAACAGACGTGGGTCCCTAAAAAAAATCCATAAACCTGACACTGAACCTGGGCAATGCATGCCCGATATACCCGTCTTGCACAGAGAGGATCTAGCGCAGGTTTCGCCTGCTCTCCCCGTTCAATGAGCTCACGTCGGTGCTGCTCCAGTTTCTTCTGATGAACTTCGTCGTGGGCCATCAGAACCTTGTCCTGTGAATTCCCAGACCCGTGACAAACTGATAAATCTCGCGTGGAAGTCAGCACTATGCACGGCTCTGTACAAGTACACCTATATTCATCCATCTCCTTGACGGGTTCAGAAAAGACGAAATATTGGACAGTTGCCACCTGAAAAGCTGGAGTCACACATGTCAGACAAGTCAACCGAACGTTCTCTTGGAAAAGTTCGATAGTCTGAAGAGTAAGAGATTCAGGATACATCTATTCCCATGCACACATCTATTCTCATTCTATTCTACATCTCATGACTTGGCCGATCTCACATCAAGTGCCAGAGTAGTTTAGAATTTAGGCACTCCACAGTCATTGAGGAGGTCGGTGAGGTACGATTTTGGACTAGAAAGACAATGTTTCAACACATGGTGTTGTTGTACTTTGCTATACAGACGCTCATACTTGGGCATTTAGATCCCACTTTACAACGTCGAAAAACGGTAGAATATCAAAACCCGAGTGCCACCAGAAGCGAGAGAGTTAGTGCTTCTAGAGACAAGTGGCTGACATTCTACTTTCATCTATACGTGCAAGTTAACGGACCGAGTATAGGTCCAGAAAAAGCGTCACCTATCGTATCAAGAATATGACCTCTTTGTTATTCTAGCGTTGTCATTCTGAATGTGTTTGTATAACCTTATACACCTTAGCACTTCGCCATACAGTACTTGTATAACCTTATATTTTATTTACTAAACAGCATGAGTATCATCTCTTTAGTGCAATTGTATTTTATTTTTTTTATTCACTATTTAAACTTACACATATAGTAATAATTATAACATGTGATTAATAATATTATACTCTCACTCCTTAAAGTAATTTGATATCAATTGTTTATCAGGTATGTTTTTCATTTATTTCTTTGTGATATAATAAGAGCTAGCTATTGGTTAAATTTGGTCAAATCAATAGACTAAGAATATCGTTTTTGCAATTTATTCCACACTCCTCCAAGTTTCAATTGTTGCAGTGGTGAGCTGCAAATACAATGCGTAAAGTGCTGTGTCTCTCATGGGAAGCACAAGCACACTAAAACCCAATGAATATGAGCAGATATAATAATGGACTGCCGATGTAATGAATAGTTGTCACTCCTATAAATTTCATACTTGTGTCTCAAAGCCATCGCGAGATCCTCCGGTTAACAACACCGTCTAGCGTCACTTCATTCACCCCACATTAACAACAACAACGTCTTCGTCCTTAATTATTGAGTCTGGGAGGGTATGGATCTACTGGATGAAACATTTTAACTCTACAAACCCGCATGTACAGTCTTCACAACAATGGCATATATTACTCCAACGGCATAATTCTTTCGTTTCCGATGAACTCAGATGTGTCGACCCGCCAAATGTCCAAAAGGTCCACATTACACTTTAAGCACATTAAGCATTACACTTTAAGCACAAAGTACATGTGCCAAAAGGTCCACATTCCATTCCACGAAATTTGTGTAAGTGGTTAGTTTAGCTTATGGTTGCTATACGTGATATGATAAAAGAAATGTATGTGGACAGATAACTGTGTTGTGAAACAATTTGAAAATTTGAGATTCGTAACGTCCCACCCATTCAGTGAGTTTCACGACACGCTTGATGCTGGAAACAAAAGCATCTGTCCAATATTCAAGGAGCTGGAGTTGTACGTCAGCAACATCGACAAATTGCATCCACGTGTCGGGACATCAATAGCAAATACTGTACCGGCATACGAAAGAGCCGAGAAGTACGGCGCACTCGCAGTGGCTCCTTGCAGGCACCCAGAGTTTGGATCTCTTGTTGCCCCAGATCCATAAAAGACAATGGAGATTACCAAAGCAGTTTGATTTGCTGGCACAAGGGAATCAGCACGCTTTCGTTCAACCGGCAAGAAGCACACAATTCTTTTCGTATCAGTTTCATTAAAGTAACTCGTAGTCACTAGACTACAAATCTCACGACGCTCAGTTATTCCTTTTACTCAGTCACATGAGCTTGTTCTGTCTCCCACACTTTGTACTCCAGGACAAGAATCTTTTCCATCGCCTTTCAATGTTGTGGTCACATTCTGCTGCTCACGGCAGGAAACGCGCAGGGCAAGCAGGCCACAGGTAGTGCCCGGCGGCGCCGTGACCTTGTCCCGTCATTCTGCCCCTGTTAAGAATATATCATTGACGATGTTCCATAAGAAGCATAATCACATGCCAACATGTTACCACGACATTGCAATTTGAACTGACGTGTGATGTATACATTGATCAATATGCTGCTGCGTCTTATGACAATTATCAGAACGAAGAGGGAACAGAGGAATAAAGCCAAAGGGACGGGAGGTCCCCATCAACTACAAATGGTGAGAAGAAACGATTAAGACGGGTCTACTATGCCAATGGAGCTACTAGCCCGATACCATCAAAATGTCCAATTGCATTTAATATAGATGCAACGTGAAGATAGAAATAATCAACTAACATGATTGTTTTATTTTTTATAGCGGTACTAGTGCATAATGCTAGATATCGAGATATGCTTATTGAACAAAAAAAATTGTTATTTATTCACTTGTATATGATTTTTGGCAGAATCTAATGAAATTTTGTTCTTGTGTTGTCCTACCATGTCAAGTTTTCTTTAGAAAAACCTTTATCTTTTTCATCAATTAAATTTAGTAAAACCTATGTTATAGTCCATTCAAATGGTTTCTATGTAAATTTTTTCATTATAAAAATGTATAGATTGAGTTTTATGTTACTTTTATCTTGGATTAATTTCATTTAACGTTAACCATGGTTAGAGAAATTAATTGTGGTTATGTTAGCTAAGATGTGTAACTTATCTCTTCCTGGATAGAAGAGGAAAGTAGACATTCACTGTGTACAGTTCAGAGTTGCACTTTCGAGAATAAGCATGAAAAAATAGAGTTTGGTCATGGATGTCGTGTATACACTTGTGTTTTAGTGAAATTTCTACTCTTGCTTGTGAACTTAGCCTATAGAAGGTCAGGTTATCTTGGTGTGTTGTGACAGTCTTGCATCCTGATCTATCTTGCTTGTTGGATCTTACATTGAATAATAATCTCCAATATACCGTGTATGCATGTATAATCTTAAAGTTTCTCCTAACCATCATATAAATTTTGTTTCAATATTTCGAAATAAACACTTTTAAAAGTTGACATCTAGTTATTTAATCTTTCATATATATATATATATATATATATATATAAGATATCATACAATATTCATGACTTATTATTTTATAAAAATTTGACTGTACCTTATACACATAAAATGATTAAATTTCACACATCTATGATTTATATCTCCAAAAAAACTTAATAAGAGTCAAAATAAATTAAAAATTGTTGTTAAAATAATCATTTATGTGAAAATAAATTTAATTTTGTAAGATAGAATATGGACATCAAATTCTTACTATTTAAATTGCATTCAAAAAAATCTAATAGTTCAATTATTAAATTAAGACAAACTAAAAGCTTACTCAAGATGTTCAAAATTTTCATTTGAATCATTTCAAACATGTGTTCAAATCATTATTTCCTTTTAATTTAAAATAATAATTTCAATGAATTAATTTTTTATAATATTATAGCTAAACATAGCTCATTTTCTCCAAATTTTCACATTGTCAATTTAATATCAAAAGATACTCAAAAAAATCTTTAAAACTACTAACTTTAGAAAAATAATTAATAATGATAAATCAATAAATGGAATTCTTTTTTTGAAATATAAAAAATGAAAATTCAACTCTAATCAAACTATATTAAAACATATTAAAAAAATGAAAAGTTAACTCTAAGTCTATATGGTTTTTTATAATTTAAACATAGTAGATATAGTTTTGATATTTTTATATGACTTAAACCTAATAATGATCATATGAAGCAAAGCATAAATAATGTTACAAACACAACTGATTAGCATTTATTTTTTTGCAAGTATTTTTCATAATGAAATAAAAAATTTTAAATAATAAAGTAATCAATTTGAAAAATTGTATTTAAATATCAACTGATTGACAATGTTTAATATGAGATAACCAGACTACAGTACCACAAAGTATATTTTTCTAATTTTCTAATTTTGTTATCATCTATAGTTGAAAACAATGAATAATAAAGATATATAATATCAATTTTTGCATCAAATTATCATCAAAATGACATACTAAATATAAGGAAAAATGATTAAAATAAAAAATTTAAATATTGATGACAAATAAACTTGACGGTGCAAATTTTGAAAATCAATATTGCAATGTTTACGTTTTTTCATATCTTTTCTACCTCAATTAGATAAACTTTTGATAAAATTAATGTTTTGATTCATGCTTTATGTACAATTAATTTCAAAAAATTCAATCTTCAAATCTTTTCATTGCTTTACATTGGGCATATAATTGTGTTTTTCCTAAACTACAATCATCATATCAACAAATCTAAAGATGATTTGCGTCATTTTAAGATTTAAATAATCATAAAATAACACAGCAATGATTTTCATAAAAAATGAAATAAAAATATTTACATTTTTTGATATAATTTTAATACATTAGATCAGAATTACCGTTGAATTTGTGATATATTATGTCTAAGTGGATCAATTTCAAAATTTCAAGGTGTTGAAATTTTTAATTCATTTCATTTTTTCATATTATTGACTGTAAAACCTGATCTCAATTTAGATCAAAATGTTGTTTAATTTATGGCTGGCCAACAATTTTATCACATCAATATGAAGTTGACAAATGTCATCAATTATGAAAATTTAAACATTGAAGTGAATAATGATATTGATAAAATGTAAGATAAATCTCGAATGCTATTGCTACCTAATTCATCTATAATCAACATTTAATCTTGATATTTTAATCACTTCTTAACAAAATTACTATATTAAATTAATCAAACCTTATGATATATACAATGGAAAAGTAGTGCATTAAAGCTATATGCAATGTTTCAATGTAAACACAAT